TGTTAGTCCTCATGTAGACATGTACAAGTCCAGCAATACTTTAGGCAGTGAGAACGGTCGCTTTCTTTTAAATAAAAAGCTACCATGTTAATTAAAACTTGCTCCTTAGAAGGGTTAACTAACACGGCAGTAAACGCCTTGTCCACTAAAAGATTCCCCTGAGTGCAACTGAATGAAATGTTTACTTACCGGGACTGTGGTTCTTTGAGATGTGACAGACGTGATTCCACTTAGGTGTGTGTGCGCCCAGGAGTACTGGTAGAGGGGCAGAGTTCACACCTTGCGGCAACAGTCCCCTCCGCTCGTTACATGAGGCGGTGCTGCCCTGACCACCCGTCGGTTCCTTCACTCCGAACACTTGAAAATGAGACTCCAATGCAGAAGGGACAGAGGGTGGGTCTTGGAATACAAGTCTGCATCACATCTTGAAGAACCAGAATTACAGTAAGTAACCATTTCTTCTTCTTCAGGTAGATGCAGCTGTGTATTCCTTTTAAATGACCCAAGAAGTACCACGCCCCAGGAGGAGGGGCTCAAAGTCTACCTAAACAAGGACTGCAGGACCGCTCTAGCAAAGCTTGCATTCACCCTGGGCTGGAAGATGCGGTTATGGCATAATGGTTCGTGCACATATAGATCAATGACCACACAGCAGCGCTGCAAATATCCAATATGCAAACGTCACTGAGGAATGCTATGGATGTTGCTTGCACCCTCGTAGAATGAGCTCGCTCCTGCTCAGGGGGGGAAGCCAAAGCTATTTCATATGCAGGATGTTATCCCTTTGGAGACTGTCTGTGAAGAAACCACTTGACCTTTCATGTGGTCTGCATATGACACAAAGAAACTAGGGGAAGAATGAAACGCTTAATCCTGTCCAGATAAAAAGCTAGACATTGCCTGACATCTAACGTATGGAGACACTTCTCAGAGACGAATACAGCTTGGGAAAGAACACAAGTAAATATACCACCTGGTTCAAATGAAACTGAGAAACCATTGTAGACTAAAACATAGGATGCAGTCATACAGTCACTTCACCTTTGGAGAATTGTATATAAGGAGATTCTGCCATCAGAGCCTGCAACTCTCAACGCTCTCTTTGCAGATGTTATTGCTACCAGGAATGCAGTTTCCTGACACAAAAGCAGAAAGGGAAAAGATGCCAGAGGCTTGAACGGAGGTCCCATTAAGGCCACTAGGACTGAGTTAAGGTCCAACAGAGGGTCCAACTGGTTCTTGGACTGGAGAATGTAGATGAAGGTGTCCTTATAAGAATCTTGCTACCATGGCACTGGAGAAGACTGATCTTCCCTGAACGGGGGGGATGAAAAGCTGATACTGCTGCCAGATGCACTCAGTGAACTAAATACAAGCCCCGACACTTGAAGATGCAGCAGGTACTCCAGAATGTCCTGGACAGAGGACTGAGCGCAGGGTGCAAGGTGCAGCCGTGGTTCTGAGTGAGTAAGCTGGGATGGGGAGGAAGCGGTATGGAAGGCTGAATAGAGTGTGTGAGAAGGTCAGAGAAACAGCACTGCTTCGGCCATGTCAGGGCAACGCGAATGACCTTAAGGATGACCTGAGGGATGACTGGGATCGGGGGAAAGGTGTACAGGAGAGCCAACTGCCAGGTGAGGTGGAAAGCATGGGACAGGGAGTCTGGACCAAGGCCCCCTCGGGGACACTTCCTGTTGTCCTGTGGAGCAAACATGTCAATTGTGGGAAACCGCAAGCTGCAAAGGTGACCCAGAGGACACTTGTCTTCAGGGACCACTAGTGACTTAGACACAAATACCTACTGAGATGAATCCGCAAGATGATTCTGAACTCCAGGTGAGTGAATGGCTGTCAGGGTAATGACAGGTTTCAGAGTAGCAGTTTTCCTCGGTGCAGAACTGCCACAGCCCAATCATCTGTAGGGAGAACAACCTGGAGCGTGCTCCCCCTTGTTTGTTCACATAACACATTGCGGCGGTATTGTTGGTGAGCATGTGAGCCTCTGATACAGTCCTGAAAAGTGTGACGTGCATTGTAGATGGCCCAAAGCTCCAGCACACTGATACGGACTGAGGCCTCCTGCGCTGACCATAGCCTGTGTGTGTCCCCCAACTCATCTGGGAGGTGTTGGTAACAACTGATCTGGTTGGTGAGGGCCGGACAAAGGGACCACCTTGGCAAACATTCTCTGGATGCTGGTTAGCAATTTGCATCTGTAAGGAAAAGGAGGTGTAAATCTTCCTGCCCAATTGCTTAGAGTCCCTATCCTTGGGTGGTTCTGTTGTTCACTGCAGTTACAACTAGGGAATTTGGTGCTGGCCAGGAGTAAAACCCCTCAGATCCCTGCACAGGAACAAAATAGCACTTTTCCAACCGCTTAGCTGCAGGTGGTACCAAAGCCGGCATGCTCCAGAAGGTCTTAGCAGGTTCAAGGAGCGCATCATTGATAGGGAGGGAGACTCTCCCAGAGGCAGATGGCTGCAGGCTATCCACTAATTCTGTGGTTGTTCTCTTGCAAAAACTCCACTTGGATACCAAGAGAAGCAGCTACAAGGTTGTGAAAGGTATCGGTATGCCTTAAAATCCTCCAGTACCAAAAGAGGAATGAACCAGGTAGCACAGTATTGTCCAGAGACAAAGAAAAGGCCCTTAACTGGGCTAAAATTGGATCCTGTTCCAGGGGTGACAGATCTGGATGGGACAACTCTGGAGGCTCCACAGGGAGGAGGAATGCTGGTGCCTGGGCTGGTGGAAGATCGATGGTCACCACCACAGACGTGGCTGGTGATCTCGCCTTTGAGTGAAACAAAGAATGGGACCTCCATGACCAAGGAACATCCCACAGATTCCATGGAGGCCACTGGCATGGATAAGAAATTGGTGGCCAGTAGGTGCCAGGCCAGGGGCCACTGTCCCAGCCATGAGACGAGCACCAATCCCAGTACCCGTAACAGTCCATCGAAGGCCCCCAATGCTCGTCAAGCAATGGACAATGGGGGGAGGACGACCCTGACTTGGATGCCAAGGAGCCTCAGGATCACTGGGATGAGGGCAGAGCGAGATCAGAGGCAGCAAGTAACCAGTCGGACTTGTCCATCATCCAGAACTAAGCAGGAAGCAGCGCTGCCACTGGAAGCAGTACCGTTGGTCCTGAGCAAGCTGGTGCCAGAAGTGCTATCAATCCCAAAGTCAGCAGCGGTACTGGAGTGTTTGACAGCACCAATTTCAAGGGCAGCGAAAGCTGCCACAGTAACATTTGCAATGCTGACTGCAATGGTGCTGAGGAGATTCACTGTACCCAGGTCCCCCAGACCAATCCCAGTGCTGGCCCTGCTTCCACAACCGTGAAAGGGGAACATTGGGGTCCAGTGCCAACTGACCCAAGGGTCCAATGGCTTGAGTCGACAGGGTTATAGATGACACAGCCCTGACAAAGTCCTGGAATAAGGAAAGGTCGGGGCCGAAAAGTAGACAATGTGCAGCTGACATGGAAACAGTACTTGCATCTACCTTGTCCGTACCAGATTCAATGGACAGGCAGAGGCCAGAACCCAAGTCAGCAGTACAGGGTTTCTAACCTCCCTACTCGGTACCAGGGAAGGGTTAGAGGTACCCACACCATCCTGCGCACTGGCACCAACTCTGTGCTAGTTAACGCTTTTCCTGGGGGAAGCGGAAGAGGTTCCCCAAGACCTGGAGCAGTCTCCATCGGTCTTATCTGACCTTTTCCTCCATGCAGATAACAGGGAATGTCTCCTCCGTTTCTTCAGAGTGTGCCTGCTCCTGAACACAAAACAGCTTCACTCTTGGAACCTGAAGGCGATCTCTGACCTGATAAGGGCTTTGGTTCTGAAGCAGGCCACATGGCTTGTTCAAGCAGGTGCTGCTTTAGGCAAAGGTCCCGAGCCACTTGAGTCTATTTCTTGAACGATCTGCAGATTGCACAATGCTCTTTAACATGGGCCTCGCTGAGACAGCAAGCACCATGTGGAGGGATTGCTGGTGGGGATCACACTCCCACACAAAGGACAACATTTAGCCCCCGTAAGAGCATCACTGAAGAAACTAAACTAATACAATTAACACTAAGCTAACGCTAAGGGTACTACTTCACAGTATATATAATAAGAAAAAACTAAACTAGCTGAAGGTTGTGAGGTTAAGACCACACAGAGCCCTGACTCCAGCCACAGATGGTAAGAAGGAACTGAGGGAGGGTTGGGGCGGCACTGCCTCATGTAACCAGGGGAAGGGTTATGGCCACGAAGTGTGAATACTTCCCTTCTCCGGGTACTGGCAGGCAAATTTCTTAGGTGTGTGCACACATAGCGCACCAAAGCCGAAGTGGAATACTCAGCTGCATCTACTCGAAGGTGGTGTGGTTTCCCTCGTTCAGATATGGACCATGTGTAACCAGACCATTTCAGGGAGCATAATTAAGGAATAAAACCATTCCCAAAGCCATGGTTCAATCCTTCAATCACACTTCCAGAAACAGTGCTGAACATGATCTTGTCCTTAGCTACACTTGCAGTTAAAGCACACTCAGTGCCAGGTCAGCTTCACTCACAGCTGACACCATTATCAGCAACAAGTAATTTTCCTAGGTTAGACCAGTGCCAAGGGTGAAAGCATGTTCTTTATCTCCTGGACCAGGGCAATCTTTACTGGCCAGAGACCCAACCATCTTACCTGATGTCTGTATGAACTTGATCTATGCCATGGAAGAGAACTACTGTACCATAACTGTGCCTTTAAGAAGGCTCAATAACTAAACTTAATTAGAATTGGAACCATGCTATGTGCAAGTCACTTAACATATGAATTCAGAAGAGGTACAATAATGTAACCTTACCATATACTTAAATATTATGCAGGTTTCTGAGCTGTGAAGGACACAAGCTGCTAGTCATTCCAACTTCTTAACAGAACTCCGGTAACACAATAATCCTTATACTGGATGTCAAGCCCCAAAGACAAATTTAAAACATTGTTCTTACCTTTCCATTCTTCTATTGTGTGCTCTCTTTCATCTAACTGCTTGTCTGGTATCTTTGGTGGAGGCTGCAAACAGAATTGATGCATGATAAAGAACTCAAACAACTACAGTGAAATGAAAGGGAAAATGCACATCACCTAACCGGAAGGCTGTTGTATAAAGAATAGCTTTCAGAATCCCAACCCAATCTTTTAAACATACAGCATCATGTCTGACCAAAACTGTTAGAAACATAGTGGTTGAGAGTTCAATCCTTGAGGGGGCCATTTAGGGATCTTTGGCAAAAAAAATTGGGGATTTCTCCTGCTTTGAGCAGGGGGTTGGAGTAGATGACCTCCTGAGGTCCCTTCCAACCCTGATATTCTATGATAGTCATCTCATGTCTGGCCACTTTTCTATACTTCATGTGATGTTTCAGACACCTAGTGATTAATAGTTTTCCTCGCATTGTTACAGTTATGTTTGACAAAGGTGGCTAAATGGAGACGTATCTAGGTACAGCATCTTCCATGCCTGACTGCCCTTTTGCCTCTTTGGGACATTTACTGTAAATATTCTGTAGAATTCTAGTTGCACCATTTACATGAAATCCTGTTTAGGATACTGAAGTGTCTTCTTCAGTTCTTACTAGGTCACAGCCAACTACCCCTTCTGTTCAGACACTTATTTTTCATCTTATTTCAATAAACTAGAAGTTAATTGTTTAAAAAGTGATATATTTTTATGTTTCAACTAAATCACATTCACCAGTGGTGATATTTGACAGCACATGCTCTTACACTAGAGTTTTGCCTCTGGCTCCTATTTTGTTACTTAGTGTTGAGATACTACCAAATTGCCCTAACTAGTAAAAATACCTTCTTCCTCTTTTCTTACCCAGGAGTCAATGGCTCATATTCCTGGTAAATGTAACAGGTATGCATAGGAATGACTGAGGCAAATATTTGGTTTAATAAATCCAGGGCCTGATTTTCAGAAGATTTAAGTGTGATATTTGCATGTCTTATTTGTAGGTACAATCACCATGATTATGCATAGAAATACAGGTGAACCACAACTGCCTGAAATTTTGGCCCCTAGAGAGAAAATTCTAACAAACATATCTACCAATTTCAGCTATAATTCTGACAGCTGCAGGTCAGAAATGTAGTGCATTATTATGGCAAGCAACTAAACCAATCACCACATTCCAAGTTTGCTTTCTTCCGTAGAGTATCCCATTATCAAGAGACCACAGCCAAGAACTTACTGCTTCTGCTTCAGATGGATCATACCAGACATTGATGTATGGGTGCTGCAGAGCCTCATCCACAGAGATTCTTTTAGAAGCATCTATAACCAGCATTTTTGATAACAAATCCCTTGCTTGACTGGCTGCAAGAGTGAAATTTTCTATTTAGGTTTATGCTGAATCCACATTAGACAATGTTTTAAATCTTATGAACAGACACACTTAAAAGGCTTAGCAGAGAGCAGACAAATTACAGTTTTAAGGTCTGCACAGAATTCAGGATTTAGGAAAGCTGGTACTACATTAAAAAGCAAAGTCAAAATAATGAGTAAAACTGATAAGAGAGTTTTGAATTTATGTCACATGTAACAAGAACAAAATCTCACATGGAAGACTAATCAGTACCTGGTCACTGTCCTCCTTCATGCAAAGGAGGCAACATGACAACTGGACATATTTTCACGTCTGATAAGTTTTATTGATACATATATCGCCAGTGACTAGATGGATTTATTGAAATTGCAATTTCTGGGGGGAAAAAATCAGAAGCTGGACAGCTACCAGAAGACTAAAAAAATGTCCATGTGATAGAGAACATCAAACAAAGTAAAAAAGAGAAACCTGGTAACTAGTATCTGATAAGTAACTATTCCTTAATAAGAAGGCTTTCCTCCTGCCCCTCTCCCCAAATAAATCTGTCATCACATACAGGATGAGTGAATTCAGAGCAACTAAACTCTAGATTGGATTCAAAAATTGGCTTGTATATAAGCCTTGTGACATGGAGTCAAAATTGGACTAAGTATGAAAAAAGGTTGATAGATTCATAGACTTTAAGGTCAGAAGGGACCATCATGATCATCTAGTTTTACCTTGTCAAGGATGAATCCCCATTCTGGCACTTCAAGTGCAGAAGGTGGGGGCCCGCAAGGATTCTAAAAATTAATATGTGCCACTCCAGGCTTGGTAAATGCTACCACCACCCAAATGCAAAAATCCTCCTTGGACCCAGGAAGGAACACTTGGGAATTCCTCCACTGTGGGGTACCCTCAAGCCCTTTCACCCCCCCACCCCTTTGGGGAAGAGCTGAGAAAGAAACAAAGGAAATTAGCTGTGCTACCGGCTGATCAAACAACATACACAAACCTCTTAGGACACCAAAAATCCAATCCTGTTCTTAAAAAAAAGGTAAATTTTATTAAAAACAGAAAGGAAGAAAATACATCTGGAACTTAGGCTTTTGATAGATTTTAAAATAGCAATTCCAAAATTAAGCACCCAAAACAGCTTTCTTGGGCGTTAAAGGTTACAAGCAAACAAAAACATCTGGGGTTAGCACAGGGAAGTCCACAAGCCTTAAAAAATAAACAGAAATAAACCTAATTGCGTCTTTCTAAACATTCCTAATTTATTTACATATTTGGGGGGTTTCAAATAAGTAATTCTAGGAAAAATCTAATGATTTCTCATCCCTGGCTTAAAGCTGCTTATAGCGTAGTCATAGCCCTGACTTTGCTCTGTTCCCCTCCTCCCCCGAGAACCACCACAGACATAAAGGGAAAGCTTCCGTCCCCATTTTAAAAATTTCTAGCCTTCCCATTAGCTCTTTTGGTCAGGTGCCCCTTTTCTTTACCTAGGGGATTTTTTTAACCCTTTGCAGGTAAAGCAGGCAGATAACAGCTACCAAGAGGGATTTTACAGCTAAGTGGCTGGCTGGGTGTCCATAAAAGGGAGCTTCCCATGCCACCGCCCCCTCCCCCATTTATCACAGACCTACAAATTGCAGCCGCATAATCTCTCCTACCCACCCCTGCAATAGGCCCATAATCTCTAGCTGTGTTACTGAAATCCTCACATCATGACTTAAAGGCTTCTAATTCATATCAGCAAATGACCCATGTCCCATGCTGCAGAGAAATGTGAACCTCCCCCACCCCGCCCCCAATGTCTCTGCCAATCTGACCTGGGGGGGAAATTCCTTCCTGACCCCAAATATGGCAAACAGTTAGACCCTAAGCAAGTGGGTGAGATCGACCAGTGTACTGAGGAAGAAGTCTCCAACCATATGGTCAAATTATCAGTGTTGGGTACAATGTTATTTAACGTCTTTATTGATCACCTGGAGGAGATGGTGAAAAAGCAGACTAATTGGGAGGTGAGGCAGAGCAAATTCCAACCAGGTCAGAGAAACAAACCTCGAGGAGCTAAACAAATGGACAGGAAATAAAATGTGACTGAACAAGGGGAAGTGTGTAGGGCTAGTACAGCTAGGAAAAAACATCCCTATCCTTTTAACAAGCTGGATATACTAGGAAAGCAATTGGGTGGGAGCTTGCAGCGTAATATTGTGGCAAACACCTAAAAAGGCCAATGACATGTGAGATGCAACACACAGAGCCATCATAAGTCACCCCCTACGCTGTACCCCTCCTGCAAAACCACAACCATAGGGGAAGGCTGTATTTAGGCATCTCAGTGCTGGAAAGAAACAGAATGGGTGAGAATTCACAGAGTCGCTAAAAAAAAAAAAAAAAAAGCAACCAAGGGGGATGAAGAGAGTAACTGAGCTTAGTTGTGCTGGTTCACGACATTAAAAAGAAGGGAATCTGAAAACCAGTTTACAAGAGTTTGACGTGTGTAAACACTGAAGAGGGAAAGAATCATTTAGGGCTGTCCACAGAGGTAGAACTACGAGTAAAAGGGTGAAAAATGTCTAGACAACAGGGGGAAATATTTCTGACTGACTCTGGAACTGAACCATAGAACAGTCTCTCAAAATAATGGGTGGTATCCATATCACTTGAGTTACCCAGAACTCAACCGGATAAAGTAATGTAGGAGAAAGTCTCGCAGTAGCTAGGAAGTGTTAGGGTTAGGAGAGGGACACGCTAGATTATAACTTTTCAATATATAGTGCCTAGGATTCATAGATTTTAAGGCAAGAAGGGACCATTATGATCTTCTAGTCTGACCTCCTGTAGACCACAGGCCAGAGAACTTCCCCTAAATAATTCCTAGAGCAGATTTTTTAGAAAAACATCCAATCTTGATTTAAAAATGGTCGGTGAGGGAGAATCCACCACTGTCCTTGGTAAACTGTTCAATGGTTAATTACTCTCCTAATTAAAAATGTACTCTTTATTTAGGCAAGGATATTTAGAGAAAGTAAATATAAGTAAAATCTTGTAGACAGCAGAGCTAGTCATATTAGGGAAGCCATACTAAAATTCAGTTAATTCAGTATAAAAGCCTCTATCACTGCAAGTGTTTATACAATGTGGAGCTTCCAGTGTTTCAAAATTACCTCACTGCATAAATAAACGGTACAAGAAACCATTCTCCATGTGTAATCCCAGAGGCAAAGAGGAGAGTTATGAGCATTTCAGTGTTTCCTTTCTTCTTCCCAGGAATCCTCTTACCCCTAAGTGGGCTATGGTCATAGTGCTGGTCAGTCCCTTCCTTGGCTGATAGTGGAAATGAAAAATCCCCATTTGAGATACAACCTGGGCTATCCTGAGGACAGGCAGGGGCTATAATAGTGAGCACTTTCCATCCTCCTTTGAGTCTCAAGTGACTTTTTCCAAAGCTCTGTAAGACCCGGCAACAACAGACCATATTGCTTCAAAGCACTACCAGGTTAATCATCTTTTGCTAGAGTACAAAATGCGATGAGCCCATGCTAGTCTACGGTGCTAAGTAGCAGCTAACTTCTAGCACCAAGAAATTCTTATTTCCAGAACGAAGGGATCCCAGAGCCAAAGGCATGGTTAGACAGGATACAAAAAAGGGACGTACATTACATTTACATGTTATCATATATGTTACTTTATCTCTAAAGAGAAAAGAATTCTGGCTACATAGTTTACAACAATTGCCTTCTTTTTTGCCGTTTCCCTCCACCCCACATTTCCTCCCTCAGCCACACCCCTCTCAAAGCAGTTTGAGTGTCAGCTATAAAGGAAAATATCTGTTTCTGGATAACAAAGAACCTACTACAGGAATACGTAGCAGTAGCTCAGGAGAAAACAAGAAAAAGGAGATAGAAGTAATCCCAGCACATACATCCCTTGGTAACAACATTTTAAAGTTTAACTCTTTAAAAGATTCATCTGATAATGGACAAAATTTATACTTTCATTCACGAGGTGTCAAATATAAAGGAAGGGTAACCACCTTTCTGTCCACAGTGCTAAAAAATCCCTCCTGACCAGAGGCAAAACCCTTTCACCTGTAAAGGGTTAAGAAGCTAGGATAACCTCACTAACATCTGACCAAAATGACCAATGAGGAGACAAGATACTTTCAAAGCTGGAGTGGGGGGAGGAGAAACAAAGGGTCTGTCTGTCTGCGTGATGCTTTTGCCGGGAACAGATCAGGAACGCAGCTCAGAACTCCTCTAAAAAGTTAGTAAGTAATCTAGCTAGAAATGCATTAGATTTTCTTTTGTTTAGTGGCTGGTAAAATAGCTGTGTTGAATGGAATGTATATTCCTGTTTTTGTGTCTTTTTGTAACTTAAGGTTTTGCCTAGAGGGATTCTCTATGTTTTGAATCTGATTACCATGTAAGGTATTTATCATCCTGATTTTTACAGAGGTGATTCTTTTACTTTTTCTTTAATTAAAAGTCTTCTTTTAAGAACCTGATTGATTTTTCATTGTTCTTAAGATCCAAGGGTTTGGGTCTGTGTTCACCTGTACAAATTGGTGAGGATTTTTATCAAGCCTTCCCCACAAAAGGGGGTGAAGGTTTGGGGGGGATGACATCTCCAAGTGGGCTCTTTCCCTGTCCATTGTTTAACACACTTGGTGTTGGCAGCATAGGGTTCAAGGACAATGCAAAGTTTGTACTTTGGGAAAGTTTTTAACCTAAGCTGGTAAGAATAAGCTTAGGGGGTCTTTCATGCAGGTCCCCACATCTGTACCCTAGAGTTCAGAGTGGGGAAGGAACCTTGACACGAGGCTACTACAGTATGAAAAATGATACAACATACATGATCTTACCTTTAAGTTTGTTGTGCTCAGAATCAGCTGGGAAAAGTACATCTGGGAAGAGTTTCTCAAAACTATATCCAGCATATTTAGGTCTGTTCTCCACATAAGTCCGCACTGTTGGCTGCAATTTCTTCATGAATTCAGGGCATGGTGTTCCTAGCTGCTCAATAACTTTATTCCACTGATCAATATCTAAGGTCAAGCAGCTAAGAAAAACATAGCATGGCTAACATCCAGCATAAAGGCTATGTTAAAACAATACAAAATATCTAACAGAGATGAAGGTAGCAGGCCATAATAAATAAAAAGACACTATCAGCTTGTTCAAGAGAACAGTGATGATGAATAATTGTAAGCTTGGCTGAAGAGCAGTGCAGCTAATATTGATTTTGCCCATAAAATATCCAGACCTGCCAAACGATACACTTGTAGAAAGTACAGGGAGTTAAAAACCCACTGAGCTAAAGCAAATCTCAAATATAAGTTTAACAGAAACCTACCACGTTTACTATTTGTATAATTGTCCAGAGAGTTGAATTCTGTTTGATTCAACTCCCAAATATGCTAAGCATCATTAAGGCATTAGAGGGAAAAGCCACTCATTGGTGTTTTATCTATATACTCAATAGCCTGACTCAAGCTCTGGCTGTGCAACACATGAAGTGTGTACTAATTAGGAGAGAGGTCACATTTGGGCAAGGTAGGTGTGCACAACAGGGTTGAAATCCTGGCCCCACTGAAGTCAATGGGAACTCTGCCTGTGTTCCTACCCACTTAAGTGCTAGATACTACAGTCATGAGCACATTATAAAATGCCTATGGAATACAGATGTATCTAACAAAGCCCCATAAATATATTGCAGTTCTCATTTAAAATGTCATAAGTGCAAGAAAGTTCTAATTCCCACAATAAGGCATAAAATGAAAGCCAAGTGTTCAAACTTGAATGAACAAAGATCAGTGCATAAATAAGAGGGGCCTAATTTAGCTCCCTCTAAAGCTAAACAAAAACTGGGACTGTTCAGCAGATGTGGGGGAAAAAAAAGAAGCTATTTTTATTAAGACACCTTAACCTTGGGCATGCATATTTCAAAATGTGGGCCCTCGAGTCTTAACATAACAGAAAGTGTGTCCAATTCAATAAGGTACTTGTTGTGTTGAAGTATGCAACAAAACCCACAGAAGTGAATAAGATTACTCATGTGCGTGAAGTTAGATATATTTAAGATGTATTTAAGAAATTAGGCTGAATCAGGGCCAGTGTCTCAAATAAATAACTGCAGCCCCAACAGTTGGATAATGCAGAGCAAGACCGATAATTCTGTTCCTATCTGGAAATATTGGAAATAAAAATGTAAGGGTTTGGGCTTTTTCCAGTAGCTTTACCTTTAAAACCAACAAATCTGGAATTTAATGCTTGGTTTAACCAATGAAATTAGTCAAAAGGGTTTGGGGGAGGAAGTGAACAGAACTCTGCACAAACAAAACTTCTGACTCTTAGTAATGTTTACTGGTGATGCAGATTCTTTCAGTCCAGTTTCCATCTAACAAGTCCTCTGCTGGAAGTATCTTTAATATGGCAATACCCAGAGAGAGAGACAACAACTCATTCACTGAATGGAAACACAGGTCTGGTAGGTATTTCTAAAAGATGCTTTGAAGATTCACTTTTTACTATATTTTATATTATATATATATAGATTTATCTATCAATATATTCAGCTATCTAAGATCATCATCTCTGGAGCTTTCCTTTAAAGTAGCGTACAAAGCGTAACCTGAGACGTGACACAAGCCGGACTGGTTAGGAATTTTTTAAATGTCCACTTACAAACACAAAAGCAACATTGCTGAAGTATTTAGGCAGTAGCTGAGATTAGTAGAATAGTAGATCACTCCACAAAATGTTCAGTTAAAAAGGAAAATCAAAACATATAATAGGTAAAGCACTGTACAACAAAAGAAGTCCAACTTAATTATCGCAACACCCAGAAGCAATGGATAGGCACTATATAAAAATCTAAAGTGAAAATAAAAGGGTAAAAACCTCAGTGTGTCCAAGTGGATAGCTTCTCGTCTCTCTAAAGTTAGTCTGCATGAATTGCTAAATGCAGCACTGCAAGCTACAGTTATTTACTTTGCTTTTTTAAAAATGATATTCCCATAAACAACTTTGTGACAATCAAAATTAAAAATCATGAACTCACAAATGGTATTTTGAAACAGTAATTTAAACAATGTCGTAGCAGTCAGCAGTGGAGCAGACAAAGTCTACTCTGACATGGACCTGAAATGCTGCTGTATGTTTGGACCTTTCAAAACTACATCCTAGGCCAAAGGTAAGGATACGATCTGTACCAGGAAATAAAACACCACCTTTGATCATTTCTCCCATGATGCACCCAACTGACCAAATGTCAACTGAAAACAAAATGCAATGACATTAACATAAAAAGGTAGTTATTAAAATAAAATAAAATTAAAAAATAATCCACACATACGTGAAGTAATTATAAAAAAGCAGTGTACAATGGAAATGAGTGAGGATGAATGTGTGCTAACTACGGTACCAGCAGAGACTATGTCCTACTGCTAGATGCAGCCTGAGTATAACTGAAGTTCTTACCTCAACAATTTTTGAAATGTATCACAAAAAAATTCATGTCCATTTAAGAAAAAAATTGACCCATATGCATTTTCATGAGAGAACATTAGAACATTAATCACCTAACTAATTCAACCTGCTGCAGAAGCACAAGGATACAGTCCCTTCCTGGAAAGAGGATTTTGTGGCAAACCATTTCGCCCATAATGCACCCCACAGACCATAAATCCACTATGTTTGTAGCACAAAAAGAAGGAAAAGCAAAGCAAACGGTCATTTAAAATTAAAGAAGCATAACATGACTGCATCCTATCAACTGCAGACAGCACAGGAAGGAAAGAAAGAAATCATCGTGGTATTAAGCAATGAAACTATTTTAACACACAGTATCTTTAAGGATGATCTTTTCATCTGGCTCATAAAGAAAAGTCAGAAGAATAGCCTTTTGCTTAAAACACTGTCTAAAGATAAAGTGAGAGAGATGCACACACATCAGACAGTTTAAAGCCCATCTTGAAGTTCTGGGGTTTGAAATAACATGTAATTATTTCCACAAATAGATTTGCTTGGAATAGCAAAGATAAGTATATTTGTTTACATGTTTCATGGTGCTTGCAAGAGTCAGTCATTTTAAAGCTAGCAAACCAACTTGTTGTTTGAAAGAAGAAAGCGTGTTTCAGTAGTGCATACTTTTAGAGCAGAATTTATGGGTTACTGGCTAAATTCGATTAAGCAGGAACAGAAGAAACTTTTGCCAAGTATTTCCTGAAAAGTGTTTTACTGTGCAATTCTCTCTCCCTTTAAACAAAAAGGAATACAAGCAGTAAAAGATCATTTAGCATTTTAGAGGATCAGTTAACAAGATTAGTATGTTCCTGGAAGTAGTTAGACTAGAAATAATTGATTTAAAAATACTTCTCCAGCAACATCGGAACATAATATTGTCTGATACAAAAGAAACAAACACTCATAATAATACAAGTTTGTATATAAAAAGTTCTTAGACTTTCTGCCCTACCTCTCACTTTCTCTCAAAAAACCTCAACAACCGTGGAAGACATCCTCACTGAAGTACAAGTTTACTTTTTACAGGTATGCCAATTTTCTTTGCTACTGTTGCTGATTTTTATGCAAGAGTTTTCTTGAAATCAGAGTGGTGAATTTTTATTATTACTATTAGCTCCTTGTCAGACACTAGCTTAGAATTTCACTGAAGTAGAAAACAATGGGTTTTAAGTGAGAACACTTGCATAATAAAAGCACGTGCAATAGTACAGAGTTAAACAAACTACAAACAGAGCAACTTTTTACTCAAAATATTCCCTTTCCCCATGTTTAAGAGTTCCTCTAAAATATTACCTAAATCAATCTCCTGATTACAATCACAACTCTACAGATTAGGTGTTAAAATTAAGGGCCTGGTTCATTTTTAAAAAGTTTGTTCCTTTTAAATCCCAGATCATAATTACATGAGTTGTGGCATATAAATCGCCACTACATTTGAAGATTGGTATTAATATTGTCTTATAAACTGTTTTCAGGTATTTAAGACCAAAGCATTTTTGGCACAAAACTGAAAAAGGTAAAATTTTGTTCTTGACAGTTTAATGAAGATTGTAAATGGTCGTTTCACCTGCAAAGCAACCCTCTGCTCTCGTGAAGAGAAATGCACCCGAAACCTACTGGAAATAGCCTGGGCCCAAAATGATAAAAGTGAATTGTGTGGAGGGAAGAGCAACAGTATATGAGCATCAAGGATTTCTCTTCATGCATCGAAAGCCAGGGATTTTAACAGGCTCAAATGAGTTAATGTTAGAAACAACTTCTTTGCTCACCCTTCAAAATTTCCAGAAGTTTGCTCTGAAGAACACTGTCAATTACAAAGGTTTCTTTACAAAGATTCTGTGAAGCTAAAATTTAATCAAGCCTTAAGAGATGGTCTCAGGAAGTTTGGAATAAAAGATCTCAGGTCAAAGATGATCTCGATTAAACATTTTCATATCACTTTTCCTGTTCTTCTAATTGTGAGAAAGTGTCTGTTGTCTAAAATCCCTACATGAGAAGCACTTACTCCTAATTAAATCTCAAGGGGGGGGGGGGAAACTATGTTAAAGTGGAAGTAAAGTTGACATTACATATTGGTAATAAAGGGTAAAAATTTTACAGGAATGTTTGAATTTCCTGGATTTATAATACTTAGTTTCAGATAATCCCTGTAATGTTTTTTATCCTTAAATTACTGGCACACATGCTGAACCGTAACTCCATTTTAACAGTTTTTGGTCTGGAGCTTCTCTAATTTGTTTTTTAAAAATTAAGATTTCATACAAAAACACTTAACAAGAAACCCAAAGGGAATGCTACCATGTGATATTTCTATTAAAGTTGCATACTATCAACCTTAAATCTTTTACAGCTCTTTTTGATCAGCCAACATGCAATAGTAAATCTGGTCCTTAATTTACCCAGTCCATATTTCCAACATAAGTCTGTATTTCCACTTTTTAACTGGCCAGTGTGTTCTGACTCCTTTGGTGCACCGGGGAATCTGCCACTGAAATTTTAAAGTGTACTAATTCTTGTATAACACGTCTGTACTCACCAATACATTTGCTCCATTCCAGAGTATGTTAGAAGGTAATTCCTGTCAACAGGCTGGTAATACTATTAGCCCCCCAAAAGACAACCCTTATTTATTTTTTAAAAAGGAAATCTGCTGCCAGATTGGGATTTACATAATTGTCTCATACCTAATTGTACAACAGGCCAAAACAACACAAAGGATGAGATGCTGCTTTTAAAGAATGCTTCTTTCTCATGGAAAAGTTCTGTTTGTTTTTTAAAAAGGTTTGCTTGTCCCTTTTCTTCTCTAATTAGCCACTTTAAAGCCCCAGAAAAAAAGAAATAAGTGCCTGAGCTAGCCTGATCAGCTAGGTAAAATCAGAGCAAAAAAACCCTTCACCCCTTGCTTGCCTCACTCAGCACTGGGTTTCTAAATAATACCAATGCATAGCTCTTACCTAGCTCTTTATACAGCATTTTGGAGGAACATACACACTAATACAAGCTAACAGTCTTAGGAGGAAAACATAGCCCCAGCCTCACAAAAAACTATTTACTCACCCACCTGGAGTAACTTTTTCATCACTGTCTTAGGTTATGTCTACACTACAACTTATGTTGGCATAAAGTATGCCACTCAGGGGTGTGAATAAACCACCCCCCGAACAATGTAGTTACACCAACATAAGTGTCAATGCAGACAGCGCTATGTCGCCAACGTAGCTACTCCCACTCGCAAGGACAGAAGTAGTTAAGCCAACAAGAGAGCTCTCTCCCATTGGCTTAGAGCAGCTACAAGAGAAAGCCTCCAGTGGCACAGCTGCATCGGTGCGGTTGTGCTGCTGTAAGTTCTCTAGTGTAGCAGTAGTCTTCATAAGGGCAGCTGACTAGTTTTTGTTCCTAGGCTTATAAATATTAAACCAATCCGGGGAAATCAAGAGATGAACTGATTTGCCCAACACCACACAGTAGCCTTAACGAGCCTAGAGTAAGTTTTCAGAAAGTTTCCCCGTCATGCTGAAAAAAAGGTTTAGCTCCACTGATGGCAGCAACATTAGGAGCCCTAAAACAGATAAGCGGATGACTGCTGACAGCACATTCAGCACCATGTCATTTAACCATGCTCAGAGTTGGTCTAATCAATAAGGCCTGCAGCTGCTGATGACCCTTATAAATTAGTGAACTGGAATTTTTTCTTGCCCTTCTGCAATAGTATAGAACAGCAAATCTTCCAAGCTAGGCAAGAGACCTTGCTTCATCTTATTTTTAATAAATTATTTTTATAAATTAGGCCTCCCCATGGTGCCAACATCAGTGGACCTGAACTAGTGACAGCAAAGAAGAGAAATTGTTGCCCAAGGGTAAACAAGGCTGCTGAGCCAGTGGCAGAACTGGGAACAGAATGCTGTTATTTCAGGAATGACAGCCAGGGTGTTACACATTCCAGACAGTACCTGAATACGTAACTTCCCTCAAACAAATGTTGTCTGGCACCCCTGTTACTTTCTTTTACTACTACTAATATAAAGAAAAGGAGTACCTGTGGCACCTTAGAGACTAACAAATTTACTTGAGCATAAGCTTTCGTGAGCTACAGCTCACTTCATCAGATGAAGTGAGCTGTAGCTCACGAAAGCTTATGCTCAAATAAATCTGTTAGTCTCTAAAGCGCCACAAGTACGCCTTTTCTTTTTGCGGATACAGACTAACACGGCTGCTACTCTGAAACCTACTAATAATGTAGTTACAGATGAAGAGCCAGAGGAAGAATATCACCAATTTAAAGTGATAAAAAGGCTAGCAAGAAAAGGGAGGGAGCGAACACTGGCCTACCTCATGAACTTTCTTTGGATCTCTGAACCTATAACTTGTTATGGACCCCAATAGAACACCTCTTAAAGAACATGCTCTGCATCATCATGGCAGTTGCCCTGGTAAATTCTTTTACACTCAACTAAAGAGGAAACTAATTTATTAGAACTGGCACATTTTAAAATAGAAACAAATTAATGCCAGTAGTGAGTGGGCTCAGCTTGCATATCCCTCTTTGGAGTGTCTCTTTCAAGAAGTAGCAAATATATTCCAATGTAGCCTTTTCCTTTCTTATGTCACTTTAGGAGAAGTATTTGCAGTCACATTAGTTACCAACCTGCTCAGTGATGAACTCTCAACCCAAGATATTCTACAGATTAAGGCAGATACTACATATGGGGAAAGTGCATTTCTCAATTTTTGCAGGTGAAACAAACCATTGTCCCAAGTAGATTATTTATCTTTTTAAACAAACAAGACCCCCAATTTCTTTTTTAGATCAAATGTAAACATTTCATATAGGTTTTATTAAATATGAACTATTGGGTGTAACTATATTACACATTTTGGCCACAGTGTTACTTTAAAAAAAAGTGTCTACAGCTTGAAAAACATTAACATGTAAAATGTGGTGTGCCAAACAAAAAATAAAAGCTATGTCAAAGAAAGACTATATTTGCTGACCGTTTTCTTTGTATCCCATCCCTAGGATGACCTCTGGTGCTCTGTAGTAACGAGTCACTACATAAGGCGTCATCATAAAACTAGTTCCTGCAGTTCTGGCCAGTCCAAAGTCAAGAATCTTCAAAGTGCAGTCTGATTTTACTACTATATTACTGGGCTTTAAATCCTTAAAAAGAAACATCATACATGACTGCTAAGACAAGAACAAAACACTCTGCAGTTCACACCTTAAAGAAAATAACCACTGGCATAAAAAAATGAAAAACTGGGCCATTATTATAACTTCATTCTTCCAATTTTTTTTCTTGTATGAATTAATGTTTATATCTTCAGCCAACCAAAGAATTAAACCTCTGGTATTACTCTTCAGCAGTTTATGTAACAAGTAGGGGGAGAAAAACACAACTAATGTTACCAGATATATTAGCAATGTTTGAAATAATTTGGGGTTAGTATGAAATGTTAGCACTCAGACAAGTATTACAAATTACTCAAGGGAATTATAGTACCAAAGGAGAACAAGAATGGTTGAATTATTAGAGATAATGTCACAGCAGGACTTTTCATCCTAAATGGTATTCAAAACACGAAGATTCTTACGATTTAATCAAGCAAAACTTTTTATAGTTAAAATGCATCTGTTAAAAAAATGAGTTACCCTTCATCAACTCTATCAATCAAGGTTGCATTACCTCTTGATTTGTTGTAGATATTTCTCTGAATGATCAGAAGGAAATTCATGCTTGCAAAGGTTTGGTTTGCAATAATGATTTGGTTGGTCATCAGTTAACCAACTTTAAGTTTAATAATGACAGAACTCTGAACTGCCATTGCAAAAACTTCCAGAAGAACTTCCTGCACCTTTAAAAACAGGAATCAAAATACCTTCAAAAAGAAAAGGAGTACTTGTGGCACCTTAGAGATGAACAAATTTGAGCATAAGCTTTCATGAGCTACAGTTCACTTCATCGGATGTAGTTCATGAAAGCTTATGCTCAAATAAATTTGTTAGCCTCTAAGGTGCCACAAGTACTCCTTTTCTTTTTGCAGATACAGACTAACTCGGCTGCTACTCCAAAATACCTTCAAAGTTTCAAGGCACATTAGATGGAAGATTTGCAACTGAACTCTTCAGTTGAGCTCTATAACCAGATTTTGATTTTCCATTGCCCCTTTTAAACTCAGTCTCCCAAGATGCTTTACAAACCTATGAGCTACATACTCACACAGCATCTACAGAAGCATACAAAGCAACCATTTTGTTCTAAGCCATATCTTCCACACCTTTAGCTGTCAGAGAGCAAATGCTGGCCATAACGTCAGAAGGTTTGTCCGAAAAAAAATCATGAGATCTCTCATTCCCACCTAACTGATCACTAGAGGAGTGATCCCCAAAAGACAGACTTATCATGGGATATAAGACCAAGATCTGGCACCCCTTTGAGAGAGAGAAGATACTGATATAGGTAGTTTTTAATATGGTAATTTTCAGGCTTCCAGTGAGCCTCTCAGATATACAAAAATGCTGCAACACTTACTACAAAATATAAAGTAAATCAAACTAGTGTACAGGAACATGTGAAGTCAGTCACCTTCCCATCTCTCCCTAAATCGAATGTTTTTGAAAATATGATGCATAATGAAGGCTTCTATTGACTCTAGAGATTAGTATTCTGCTTATAAGATACTCAACATTTATTTATCTTATTCAAGTGTGATGAGGCATTTCAGCTACTTAAGACAATACTTAGATTGTGCTGGAGTTGTGTTTATATCCTGTTTTAATAGTTACTGTTGTATATATGCAGGTTTCTATTATAGGGATGGAATAATTATAGGACCTCTGGAGCAGTCCTCTTTCCCCATCAATAAATTATGTGGCATCTCAGCCTGCCACAATATTGTTGTATTAACCAAATTCATTCTCTTCAAAATTGTGAGGCTAGAACTGAGGAAAGAATTTACCATCATCATCAACAGGAAATAATTCCATGCACACACTCACACAAGGATGCCCATGTCATTTGCACGCAGAAAGTTAATGCCTACAAAAGCATATTCATTCTTCAATTTCCTTCCAGTATCTGACCTCCAGAAAGTCTAGAAAATTTGAATGCAAATATAAATTAACAAGACATGTAGCCTAACATGCTTCAGAATTCTCATGGCTAGTACTGCCACAAGGTACATTTTAAAATCTCATTCAGGTGTACACATTTTCATTATAGCAGGAGCTCAAAAGCCCGATGTGGGAGTGATGCAGTGGTTAAAGCAGGAAATTGATATGAAGACTCCTGGATTGTACATCCAACTATCTTACTGACATTCTGCGTGACCTTCAGCAAGTCACTTCAGACATCGCTGGGACTCAGCTCAATCACCATCTTCCACCTGCAAAATGGAGGCTAAAGCATATTTCTAGAGCTGTTGCAGATTCAACCCTTGTAAAATGCTTTGAGTATTCTGGGAACAGGTGTTCATGTACAAGGTATTAATAAGGTTAAGCTATCTATAGTCAAATCTATACTGAGAAGTAAAGATGTGAAAGCTATGCATTTTAATTATAAATGTGTGCACTCTGTACAATTTGCTTAGTCAGTAAAAATTGTGGGAGCTTTCCTTCATTTTTAGCTTTTACACTGTACATGTATTGTGTTTCTGGCATGTTACTGCTTAAAGCAAGTATTTCCACAAGCAATGCAATATGTCCTGCATAGAAGCATTTATACAGCACTTTACACCCTCAAAGCATTGTGCAAATATTAACTCTCAACCTATATGAGGTAAACTTTACTAATTCATAGAGAAGCTAAATAACCCAATTACGCTTCGTTAATGGCAGAGCAAGATTTAGAACTCAGGAGTTCCTGACTCCCAGGTGCCATGACATACCAAAACTCCGAACGCACCACACACAACCACAGAAAAAGATAATATGGGATGAACAGTGCCAACAGGAAAATTGGCATTACATATTAATAATATTGTTGCTGAGGACCTAGCTAAATAAAATCACTGCTGAAACTGTGTGTTCTACATAAAGCTAAGGTCCTTTGCAAATAATCCCTTTTCTTCAGAAGGTTTGTTGTTATCTGCTTGATAGACACAAGGAACACTAAAGCTTTATACCTTTAAGTACAAATGATTAATCGATGCAAAATTAAGCAATGTAACATTTTTCATGAACAGCAGGCTGATCTTAATATGTCATAATATGAGGACCTGCAGGTGAAATTGATCCATCTGTGTCATTCAGAGCCATTAACACATTTAACGCATTCAAAGATCATTATTTACATTTGTGCTAAAAGTCTGCCTTGCCAGAACAGGTTACCTTGTGAATTTATGCTGCGAAGCAATTCAAATGCTTCAGGAATGTCAGTACAAATTCTAAATTACAACTACCAGGAAGCACTGAAGCTAGATTTCCTGATTTTCAAACTATCACCCACCACCAATAATATCTGGAACTGAACTGAACACTGTAGTGGAGAAGTAGCTCCTGTTATAACTAGGATTGCATAAACGTTTCCATTCACCTGCAGGTTCTCGGAGAGCAGGGGCTCTGTGTTATGGTGTGCTTAAAAGGTCTGAAAGGAGACTGCCCTGCAACTCCTAAAACTGACAGAACAGGGGCTCCCTCCTATGTATTTCAACATGGGTTAGGGGAGGGCATTCTTGCCAAGTATGTCCATTCTATTGGGATTTCTTTTCCTCAGGGAAAAAACCCTAGGAAAATCCATACTATAAACCTCTGAAAAAGATGAAGCTTCTAAAGCTAAGCACTCAAAAGACAGGAAACGCCAAGGTTGCATGTGTGGCCTTTCTTTGCACCCCTGGGTGGATGCATTATGATGGAGACTTTGACGACACAGAATAGTGTCACAAAAATCATACAACATAGTATGAATCAATTTTTTGGCACCATCCTAAATAAAGAAATGCAATATTCTATAGTTTTTTATCTGGTATGCTAAGGGTAATACAAACACTGAAATGGAAGAGTAAATGGAAAAATAGTAATAGCACACGAAACTACAGGTCAAGTACAACAGGGTAAGTATATCAGAATAATAATAAAAACGTTCCTGGCATATACATATCCAAGTAAATTACCTTGGATAGCTAACTGTCTCATCCCCCGAATTGCACATAAGGAAGGCTGCACTGCTGATTGAAGAGAATGTATAGTATATGGGTGCTGAAAAATAATTAAATGCATACCGAGATGGGACCTTATTTAAGAAGTCAATACACAGATATATATAATTAAATATTGTAACAATGAAAACAGAATAAGCAAACAAAGTATTATAAGTTGCTACATATTACTAAGATTGTAAAAAATATATATATTTTATTTTAGAAATCATACACAATTATGTTCCTGTAGACAGTACTGTAATGCATGGACAACTTAACTTCACAATTTCCTGACCCGAGTGCCTAATTAAGCTACCTTGACTTAATATAAACAACACAATGAGGAAACAGTTGGGAGGCTTACAGGATAGAATTTTCCAAGCTACACGGTTGTATAAAGTTTCACTCACAGGACTAGACAATATTTGATTATGCAGAGAATTTTAGAGATGTATAATGTGTTTGTTATTTTAAAAAAATGCAGAAATAAAGATTACATTATGATAGTTTAAAAATATATGGAATTTCAGGTTTGGTTACCAAAAAATGAAACAGAAACTTAGTTGGTTTAACCAATTAGTATAAAAAGTCACTCTTTTCCAGGTATTCTTTCCTTCTGATATCCACTGGAATAAGAATTCTACTGCAAATTAGAGGAGATGATGCAACCTATTATACAGATTTTGGACAATATAGTCTAGCCAAATTGAGATCCAGTTCAGGATGGACTCAGACTTTTGTTTCAAATTTAAACACACACAATGCAGTCTTTGAAAGTATATATACAGTTTCCATATTAATAGAATTTTTCCTGGCTCCTTAATACTGAAGGCAAGAACATTAGGTGGATTTTAAAAAGTATAGTATACCACTAACCCTATGGATAATCCCAGCTGAGTGAAGATGCTTGATACCACACAGCATCTGATAAAGAAGGTACGACATTCGTTCATGGTCTAGCTCCATCTGAATCACTTGGCAGAGATTTGCATCCATGAGCTCCATCACTATGTAACTTATGAAACAACAACAACAACAAGAAGTGAGTAATTAGAAGATAAGGTGTATTGTCTGAAGTCCATTCCACTGCATATGTTTGTGACAAGTTACAAATCTGGGTAAAAATTAGACTTACACATCTTGAAATTCTTCCAGAGATTTCTGTGGTGTGAACACATTCAGCAGGCCAATTATCTGTGGAGAGAAAAAGAAAACTCACAAAAGGTCAACAAATAGATTTTGCTTACCTGTGCAAAAACACAAAATTGGTGGCTGGAAAGAAGTAAAACTTGACCTAAGAAGTCTCCTGATCATACAAGTGAACTTTGCTCTCTAGTACGCATAATCCAATAGTCATTGTTAAGAATTGTGTTTACCAGCTTTCCAACTGTTGCCAACCCTCCAGGATTATCCTGGAGTCTCTAGGAATTAAAGATTAGTCTCTTTACTAAGTACTCCTGTTCTTTTTGCAGACACAGACTAACACAGCTGCTACTCTGATTTCTAATTAAAGTTATGTCATGTGATGAAACCTCCAGGAATATGTCCAACCTAAACTGGTAACCCTATTTCCAACCTAACCTCTGAAGTCAGAGGCTACAACACTTTTGCACAGTAACGCGCATGATCACTGGCAAAGTGCATGTCCAAATAAACTGCCCATGTATTAACAGGATGAAGCGACACAGGAAGGTTGAAAATCTTCTTTTGCGCCCTGGACAACTGGAAGAACTGAAGAGGACTCTGTGCCGTACCGGAAGTTTTGTGGTGTTCAAACTCAAGGTGAAATATAACTTCTAAAAGAAGAAATTATAACATTCATGGAAACTGAGTGATGGAAGTAAGAGTTACATTGCCAGGCAGCCAGAACGACAGATTAAAATGCTTCAACTGAAGTGAACGGGTTGCATACAGGTTCTCTAAGGACAGCTACTGCAGGGTAATAACCCTTCAAGAGGTATGGTATGTTTACCTGTAACATAATATTTCATTAGAAATTAATCCAGAGATAGATTAGGAAGCACACTCAGTGTTTGTGATAAATCAGTGGTGCACTTCATTTAATAAAGAAAAGCACAAGAATAAGCGAGCAGAAGAGGAAACCAGAGCTTCCAAAGGAAGGATGGCTGGAAGAGGAAGTAGCTTGAGTGTTTGCATACAAGAAGGGCATGAGTTACTACTAGTCACCATGATTACTGATGCTGTGTATGAAGAGGGAACACAGTTATGCTGAGCCCAAGCCTGTTATCTTCTAGCTGAGGGACAAGAAAATGACATAAGCACCACCATACAAATATCAGATCTTTGTATGCTTAAATCGGACACTGGATTTACCATTTCACTGCAGGAGGGGCTAACTGTTTTACAGTTAAGGTAATTTATAGTAGAGTCATTCAAGCAACCAATTTACTGCTTTTATAAATGCCACACTATAATTCCCACCAAATTCAGCATAAAAAGGAGAAGACTCTGATGCATGCAAGATCAGAATATTTTGGCCAGCAGTGCTGGGGCTGTGCTTGTGCCCTGGATGTCCTCATCCTCTCCCCGACTTAATGGGATTAAAGGGCAAAGTAGGCCCCAACTGTCCCTTAATTCCTTCGCCAATCGAGAATCCAGATGGTACAGGACTCCATAGTAACAGGGAAGGAGAACAGATCACGGAATCCAAGTGGACACAACATCTCAAAGAACCACAGATACTGTAGGATAAGTCATCGTTCTCTCTTCCTAGAGTGATTGTCCACATGGATTCCACTTCTGGTGGCTAGCAAGCAGTGCTCTCAAATCAGGAGGTAGGTGCTAGGAGTCCTAGTTAAATGAGGATTGCAGGACAGCTCTACCAAAGTGGGAGTGAGATCTTGAGGCCACAACTAAGGAGTAGTGCTGGGTGAAAATGTGGACTGATCCTCATGTAGCTACCCTGTGAATTTCTGAGATGGGCATGCTTTTTAGAAAAGAAGCCAAAGCTATCTGAGTCCTGGTGGAATGGCTTCTAACCTGCATGGGTGGATCTAATATAGCTATCTCATAGCATAATTTAATACAATTAAATGTCAATGTAGACAATCTTTGGGTGGATATTGTTGGACCTTTAATCCTGTCTGCAAATGCTACAGACAGCCTGGGAGTGCTCCTGAAGGAGCTGTCAAGGTAATTCGAAAAAGCCTTGATCACATCCAGGGTGTGCATTTTGGTTTCCTTCCTGATTACAGCAGGGAAGAAAACTAGCCAAAAATAGGCTCCTCAAGTGCCCATCATTAAGTGAAACAGCCACATCACAAGAGAGGCAAGTTTTGAATGCTGGGGAGTTTGTTTCAGCCATAGCTGCTAAATCCCAGTACCAGGGAAGTCCTTAATATAAGTTTTGTTTTGCATTTTTTTTTTTAATATTGCCAAAGGGTATAAAAAAGAGAAACACATTATGCCAACTATGCTATTTATTTATGTACACACACACACACAGGGGTATCAAGATCACACAGCAAGTAGATAAGTAGATCTTGCAAGGCTTCCCATCTTGCAACCATAGGTGGCGAGAAGGAACTGAAAGATGGTTGGCCCCATGCACTCCTTGTGCCCTCAAGTGGGGGAACACTAGGGCACCCAGGTTACTGGTACAGCCCCAAAGGACATTGCTGCAAAAGAATCAGATCTCCTGTGCATTGAATGCCTGCACACCAGAAGTGGAATCCATGTGGACAATCACTAAATTATAACCCTACAGCAATCAATGTTTCAGAATTAACACAGGATGTTCCAAAGCAGCTTTGTGAAGTTCAGTGCAGTTTAAAGAGTTTGAACATGGTTAAGATGTTATTGCTCTGCGTCAGAGTGGTGGTCATACATTTACCACCTCCTCTCCAAACCACACACACATACATGTATGAAGGGCCTTTAGAGTAAGACTAGCTGCACTGTGCTTTAGAACTAGTTTGTTTTCTCTCCAGCCCCTGCCTATGCTTCCAGACTGAAAGGGCTGGGATGCTGCTTCAGCGATATCAGAGGAAGAACAGGCAGGCAACTGATAAACCCTGCCCAAGCAGAAGCTTCCCTATTACAGGTAAGTACAATAAGACAGTTTGAGGATAGAAGCCAACTTCCACAGATGATAAGCAATATCTGCCAACTGCAGTGAGTGGATGGGGAATGCAGTGCAAGGTCAAGCAACTGCTAATCATCAAGAGTCACAGAGCAGAAAGGGCCCGTTGTCATCATTATATAGTTTGTGGTAACATCCAAAATGAGCGTGGAAGTTTCCATACACAGAGGGTAACAATCTCTGGCTTAGAGATCATACAGGCAGTATTCTCAGTGTGGCACTGCGATGGTGTCTGCGGTAGAAGGAAGCTTCTCCTGCAGATGGTGGCCCTCCTCGCCTATCAGCCTGAGGAAGCTGGAACTTCCCACATGGGGCTCAGGAGAGGAGGTGGTGAGGACAGCATGCTAGAGGTGTGCTCTGGGCTAATTTTAAAGCCTGACCCAGAGCTAAACACCAACCCGAGCACAGACAACCCAAACCCGACCCAAGAGTGTTGAGTCATTTTCAAGTCAGACCTGAACCTGACACTTCCCCCCGAACCTGCGTCAACTTCATCCTGTCCTTGGGGCTCGGCCTTGTGGGGGCTTCCTGCTCCACATACCTCAAGCCCACAATCCATCTCCAGCCAACTCCTGGCTGTGAGGTTAGCATGGTGGTGACTGCATACCCCATTCCTGGCAGCCACCCTTGACATACTGCACATGCTTTGGAAAAAGAGGCACTGAGACTTGTCGGCACACTAACACCGCAGCACACAGCGCAGCAAGGTGGCGGTGGTTAGCAGAGCATGACCCGCAGGAGAATGGCACGCGGCCACTGCCACGCCAGCCCCAGGGGCAAGAGGGGGTGATCAGAGATTACCCAACCTGACCTGAGAGTGGCAAGGTTTTTAGACCCAATCTGACCTGAAACCAACACTTGTAGTTGGATCCCACTGGGTTCAAGTGGCGTATTAAGGCTCTATAGCATGCAGCCCCTAGCGAAGGAAGGAGCTGGCTCCTACCAGCTATCTCCAGGGCAATTCTGAGAAGCAGCCACTTGGCCTATCAGTACCTCTCCTGCTCTGCTCTGATTTTATTGCCATCTCCAGAACCTGAAATGCTCTGCTGTTGTCCTGCAAGACCACCTGGCCCACTTGCGCACCAAAATCTGCTGCCACTTCTATCCCTCTCAAGCAGACTCTTTAGCAGATGCAGCACAGAAGGGAGAAGGGTTACCTGTAGTACATCAGCCAATTGCCTGCCTGTACCACACCTAGCAGAGCAGCACCATGACTCCAGCCTTCAGCCTGGAAGCAAGGGTGGGGACAAGAGTTAAGGAAAAGCACAGTGGTGGCACTCTGAAGCATCCTCCTACACTTTATATGCACACAGGCCACCCCTTAAACACATCTCTACCCTATGTAAGGTGTTACCCTCTAGAGCCACCTATACGGTACCTGAAGACCTTTTTCTTAACACAAACATTTAAGGCAAGATGCTTCACTTACATTTTTGTGATTTACACACTTCATGAGAACAAGCTCTCTGTAGGCTCGTTTAGCATGGGTTTGATTCTGAAATGGCCGACTTAGCTTCTTGATTGCAACATTTCGTTCCAGGATGGCATCATAGGCTGCACTGCAATTAAAAGTAGACCGTTGTTATATCATTTCATGGGTTCAAAGCACTTTATAAATTCATTATTCCTTAGACATGCTCTTTCATCTCAGAGAGAAGGAAGAGCATTGTTCCCATTTCACAGATGTAAATCTGACACTGGTTAAGGTACTATCCCCAAGGTCACACAGCAACTCAGCAGGTGATCCAGAATTCCCATTAATATTAAACTCCAATACAACGAGTGTACAAGCAAGAGTCTCCCTCATAATGAGCAGTAACTGTGTTCAGAAAAGATTTTCCAGCTTCACAGTTTGCCAGTCTTACACAGCTCCATCTCCTCAGACAGTAACAGGAACTCAGAGCCCCAAAACATCAAAGCCTCCTTAACTGAAGCCAGAGAATTCCTGCTACATGCCAATGGACATCAAGGCATTGTAGATTAGACTACATAAAAATACAAAGACATCAAACATGAGAAACATGTAGGTTTTTACCTAAAATCTACAAAAGGGAAGGAGCTTCTGCCATCAGGCTAACAGCTCCAGAGCGCTTAGGTACTCTGCTAACCACAATTTTATGGTACCCTGGCCTCCCAACTGGAGAAGCCACCTGAGTGGCAATATCACAATACAAAGGGGGAAAATGGGTTCAGGAAGACTTAACTGCCTGACACCACCGATTTTCCCTGATGATGAGGAAAGTTGAACGAGTTGCAAAAGGATTCAATCCAAATTTCTTTCTATTTATGGCTTAAATTCAGGACACTAATATTACCTATTAACACAGGCTGTTAACTTCAGTTCCGTTATTTTTCTTGCTACTGGTGAAGATCATTACAAGGGACAATTCCCATGCACATCACCACACCTCTGTGACAGGCAGGCACTGAATTTGTTTGCTGCAAGACGCAATATGACAGCTGTATAGAGTCAGTAGATATTTGTCAGATGCAAAGGTCTTGGCAGCTGTGCATTACCGAGGGTAACAGGTTCAGTGAAAATCGGCTACCAGCAAATGTTCAGTGTTTATTAAATTAAAACTAGCTACTTTAACAAATATGTTATAAATCACCATCTGATTTGGACCATAGTAATCCAAAAAGTTAATCAAGACTGACTGGACTCTAATGAGAATAGAAGAAACATGAACACACATTGGAGATTTGCATTGGTTTGAAGTCCCCCTTAGTAAAGATGGATTTTTTTTTTTAAATGATGGATGGATGGATGAGGAAATGAAAAGTGAAGAGGGGTGGGCAGAGATGGATTCCAGTACAGGATTCCTGCAATATTGCATCAGTCTTTGCACCCCTGGATTACTAGGACACAAGTCTGTGGTGTCTCAGTCTACCTCTAAGTGCATGTTACAGTTGGTCCCCTTTGCTTGCACCCTAAAATGCTCAGATAACACTGTGATGGGAAGGACACAAGGACAGACACATACAAGGATTGCACTGGACTAGAGACTGAACTCCTAGACTGTCTCTCCAGGTAAGGATGGAGGCATGCAGGCAGGGCAGATAGTTGAGTTGATGTCCGCATTGTATGCATTCACAGAAAGGCAAAAGCTGGATGTGGAAGAGCCCTATTTGGGCATCTAGTTCATGCTCCTGTCAATATTGTCCCCTACTGCATATGGTCTACTTTTACATGCACTGAGTTAGAAACTGTGATGGGGATTGTAATGAGACAGAGTGGCCTCCCACTGAGCCAGAGAGGAAGGGATCACTCTCTGAACCCAGATGGGTGGAGCCAGGCCATGATCACCCTTCCCACCAGAAGTCAGGAGGAAGGACAGGAAGTATAAAGGGCAGGTCCTCCTGGAGCTTAGTTTAGCTGCAGTTGCCAAAGGAGACAGATGCCTCCTGCCCACTCCTGAGCTGGGAAACTGCAGCAGATCCCTGCCAAGCTGAACACTGACTAGAGCTGCCTGCTGCCAAGGCACGGAGGAGTTGCTGGGACTGCCACAGGCATTCTACCCAGATGAAATGGAGGACCCCCCATGGATCCAGGTACACCCTAAGGGGAGGGTAGGAAGTGGCCCAGGGGCAGCTGACCCCAGTCTGGCTGTGTTGCTGCCAGAGACCCGATCAGCATGTTGCACCTGGATTCCCTGCTGACCCAGCTGTGAAATACTTCACCACTGTTAAGGTCCTGGGTCAGGGCCTGGTGGAGTCAGGTGGGCTGGGCTCTCCTATCCCGGCCACCCCACCCCAGGGGTGGCAACCTCCCCTCTCTAAGCCAAGAGGCCTGTGTTTGTCAGCTGGAGCTAGGACACCCAACACCTGTGCTGCCTTGCCCTGACTGTAGGCTGGAGCCTTAAACTGCTGCCCCACCCTAACTGAGGGCCCAGCCTTATAGACTTGTGCTGCTCTGCTCAGATCATGGGCCAGAGCCCCTAACTGTTTGCTGCTCTGTCCTGACTACAGGCCATGGCCATAGACTGTTTGTCACCCTGCCCCGACCGAGGGCCTGGGGCCCAGAGACTGATTTGTGGCTCGGCCTGGATTGCAGGCCAGAGCTCTTGTCGAAGCAGTGCTTTGCTAATTCTCTGACTGTGTGTAACGTCCAGTGAGGTGGAGTGGCCTCCCACTGACCCAGAGGGGGAGGGAACTACCGATAACCTATGACAGGGGTTCACATCATACCAATCTTGAAAGGGTTAATGAGCCTGAGAAGGGAGCCAATTAACTTAATAGGTCACATCTGAGGGGAATTAGGCTGGATGAACAACCCCTGATTGGCAACAGGGCCCAACTGAGAAGGGACAGGTGGGATTATGAGAGAGCCAGGAAGTTGGCAGCAGAAGTGGCTACAGTCACTCTGTAGCCTTAGGGAGAGAAAGGAGGAAACCAAGGGGAGAATAGAAGCAAATCATAAAGAGAGCACCCCGAGTTGCACAGAGAGAGGGGCAGGGCATGTGGATGAGCAGCAGAAGGGGGTCATAGACCTGGCAGAGCTAATCCCCAAAGTGGCCGGGAGGAGATGCCCCAATAGTGCGTGAACCCCGTGACAGGAGCCTTCTGCCTTTTCCCTTGAGAACCTATTGTACAGTCTGGATGTTCTTCCAGAAATTCAGCCTGAGTTTTCCTTTGAACTCATCCCATTGCACTTAGTAATACTCACTTTTAGTACCCTAAACAATTCCTCTTCCTCACTGTGTCTACTGCCTTCAAGTATTTGACAAGTATATCTACATTCCCTATCCCCAGTTTAGCCATGTTACGTACATTTAGATTTTACTCTCTATCTATTTAATAATTCTTAATACGCCTTTCTGGTATTAGGGGCTCCAAACTGAATATAACTGCGAAGAAAATTGTCGCTGTCCTTATCCATGAGAATGTAGACCCACCCAGAATTTACATTAGCTCTTCTGCTACCACATCACAGTGCAAGCTCCTATTTTACTTTGCTGGCAACTACCAACCCTAATAATACCTTGTTCAACATCGTTACTCTTCAAGTGTCTCACTTGCACTACTTGCATTTTTTCAAAGATATTAGCTTTCCTTTGTCCATATGACTCTCAGAAATTTACACAGTACTTTATAAATACAGATTATAACAGGTTCCATTGTAGAGGTTCAGGCAATTTTATTTCTTGCCCATATTCCTAACTTCATTAAGTGTTTTGTCATTTCTATGTCCTCTTGGTATCTGCATTATCTCCTGATTTAGTATCAGCTGAAAGCGAATGCTCTGTTTACATCTTCTCCCTGATCATTCAGAAAAATATAAAATAAGCCTGGACCTAACACTTATCCATGGGGCAATTCCAGTTCTCTGCCTGAAATTACTATCTTTAATCTGCAGCCCTCACCTAATTTTCAGTCCATATGGCACTGTTCATAACCAAATCAGTTAAGGTAGCTTTAGGAAATCTGGCTTGAAAATATGTCAGACCTTCAGTGTTTTTGTGGACAGACAACATCACAAGTACCAGCTGGCTGGTCCTGGGGACTGATGAGCAATGGATTCACTCAGTTTCAAGCAGCTACCAAGCTACTCTGAGAACTGTAAGCATGTACTACACCAAGAGTGTGCAAACAAAGAGCAATGCTGGCTTCTACTCCATTGCAAACAGGGTTGGGTTAAGTCACGGGGAGGGGAAATCAGTTTTTTAGCACTATCCTAATCTTCCAGGCCCTCATTTGTTTGCCAAATTACAGAACTCTCTCATAACTGGCAGTGTTTGTATTGAAGTGGCTCCAACCTTGAACTGAAGGTGATGTTCTAGGTTAGAGGCAAGATGCACTGGTTGAATTGGAGAGGGAAGGGGCATTACATGTCATTACAATTAGTTCCTCACTTTGAGGATCAAATTTTCTCACACACACACACCATCCTACTGTCTCTACCCTATCTTTCAGTAAGATACAGTAGTCACTTTCAATTTTCTCTTCTAAATTAAGATTATTTATGCTCAAATTTAAAGAAAACTTACCATACTATTCCTTGTGCCCCTGATCCTATAGGTTTTAAATTCTGATATCGTTTTAGTACAGTGAAAGTAGAATCTCCAATCTCTACGCTGTAGAAATTGCTGTCACGTTTGCTTCTGCTCATGACGACAATTTAGTTAGAGCGCTTCATCCAAAATTAACTCTCAACCTGTAAAAACAAAAAAAACAATTGTCAAACTTTGGTTTTCTAAGTATCAAATACAAAAGGTTACCTTTTCAGAGGATTTCTTCGCCTAGATCCACTTTTGTCAATTGTATAGGGAACATCTCCAATGAGATGACACTAGATCTGCCACTCTGAGGTTTAAGACTGTAAGGCAGGGGTTCTCAAACTGTGGTCCACGGATAATTCCCTCTAAGGTACGCGCCTGGGTGGCCACACGAGTGAATGAAGGGCCACTCACCTAATTAGTGGACTTGCACAGGCATGGCTCCACCTTACATGCGTGTCTTCTCCAGGGTCCAGGCACCTAATTAGTGAAGTGGTGGCCTTGGGGGGGGAAATAGGGGGAAGGGGGCAGTGGGGTGAGAAAAGGGGGTGTGGGGAATTTGAGACATGCAGGCCTGCGGTGGCTGGAGAAATAGGCGACTTTCCCCAGCTCCAGGGCTGCGGCTGCCAGGAAGGGACGGACCTCCTTCCCAGCCCCAGTTCTGTGCCCGCTGCGGTGAAGGAGAGACCTCCCTCCTCCACAGCCCCAGCCCAGGAGCTGCCACGGCAGGGAAGAGAGGGCACATCCATCACATTAGAAAGGTAAGACTACTTGTATTAAAATATGAGTTGTGTGCTTTTAGTTATAGAACAAAAAATTTTTTTTTTTAATATGGCGCTTTTATCCAAAGTGCTTTACAGTAGTTCGCTAATGGTACAAACATTCGGAAAGATTAAGTGGTCTGCCAAGACCCTCACCAATTTTCAAGTGGTCCATGGAAAAAAGTTTGAGAACCACTGCTGTAACGTCTTCAGGACAGAGACAGTGTCTTTGTACATATCTGTCCAGCCCCAATCTGGATCAGGGTCCCATGAGGGACTATTGCAATAGAAACAAACTATTAATATACCTCCTGAGGCTAAAAACTAAATCCTACCTAACAGAGGCCTACCACAGCATTGCACTCCCAAACCTGAAACAATGTGAGACTGCAAATCAAAGAGTTCCAGGGAAGGAGTACGATTTACCTTTTAACCTAATAAGAGTAACTTTCAAATGCCCTGAAATTTAACAGTTTACAAAAACTGGGGAAAAGGTCTGATTAACAGACATGGACAAAAAAAAGAAGTGATCAGTGAAAGGAAGGAAAAATTTTTTATCTTCCTTCACAGGAAGAAAGGAAGTCTTACCGTAGGATACATATTCCTTAAAGATCCCTAGGTTAAAGTTGCACCAACAAAGAGTCAAAAAAAAATATTAATGTTACGTTATGCAACCTTAACTCTCCTCTTTTCTGTATAGGCACTGCCAGAGTCTGAGATTAAATAATATTTCTCTCCTCTCTCCTGTGCATGGTTGTGAATGAATTTTGGATGAATGCTAACTGTGCAATCTTAATGTTATTTTAATACAGGTTTTGTGTGGAATTAATAGTCAATGGTCCTTAGAAGGGTATCTAATATTAAAACCTCTCACACATTTGATTAGAACAAGAAGTGTTTGACTCTAATGGCTAAGAAAGAGCATGTTGTTTAATACATTACTTTAGTCATTTATTCAGCTGTTTAACAGAAATAATGACAGGTTCTTAGGTTCTATGCAGCATTTTATTTATTTGTATTATATATACTTGCTTTATTTTAAGACATTTGAAAATGGGGACAATGTTTGATTCAGAGAGAGAATCAGAAATTGGTGTTTGTGGTTAATCTATATACATAGAAGTCATACTTTTAGTGTAATCTATTGTGTTCTAAACTTAGAATTCTTCAAGAATCTAAAAGTTCAGCAAATTCAGTTCTCAGTTAGCTGTTCTGCATTCAATTCAGCTACCAGCTCCAATAAAATAAAGGGAACTACAGAGGACTAAAATAGTGTATTTTTAAATTATTTAGTATATTATATAATCTAAAATAAACTGCCATCATGGGCATCATCTATCTGAGAAGAAAGGCTTGTGAAACTAGCTCTTTGCAACTGTTAAATTGTATCTGTGTCACACAAACCTCAAAGGCTCAATTCACTAACTATAGGAGCTGATGTCAGCTCACTGAAGAGGATGTAGAGGTTCCCCTTCATCAGCAATATGGAAAGCCTCACTGGAGCAGACAGGACTGTCATGAAGACAAGAAAGGAAAGCTGTGTACAAGTTCTGAGCCCACACCATAAACAAAGGATGGAGACAAGTATACAGATCTGTATTTACTTCCCTTAGACCTGTAGTACATGACTCCACCAGTGGCTGCTCCTCCTTTCTCCTGCTCTGTAAATGCTCATCAGGGTTTTTTCTTTGGTCTCTCTCTCTGCTCATGGATGAGCTTACCTGCTCGCCTGGCTTCAGCCCCAAGTTATATGGTGACAACTCCCACCCTGTTCAGCCTCCAGACTATGGTTTTCTGACAAGTGCTTTTGTAACTCAAACCTAGTACAGTGAGGAGTCGCTGCCTCTTCCCACAATCCGCTCATCACCCTTCTCACTGTCAATCCTGCTATCCTAATACCCATGCTTGGTGTCAGCTCAGATTCCACTCCCCCACACCGAGCCTGGCACCAGTTTTGTTGGGTCTCTTCCTTTACAGCAACATCTCTAAAAATCTGTCCTGTCCTCCTCATTGCTATGTCATCTCCACCTCCACTACAGCAACAGGTTCCTCCCTGGCTTCTCAGATGGACAACTTGCTCCCCTCGACCACACCCAAAATGTTGTTTTAGGGATCATCTTCCTCATGACCTGTTTGAAGTGCACACAGATAACGCTGCTGCTCAAATTCTCTCACATTCTGCATCCCTAACCTTCAAGGCTCTGCACAACTCCATTCCTTTTTCCACCTCATTTTGTCCTATTTCCCCCCTTTACATGGAGCAAAGGAAACAAGTCCCCAAACTGTTTCCTTTGTATACTTGGGTTTTTCTTCCAAGATTCCACTAACACTTCAGCCTTGTTATATTAAGGGATAGCCATCAGGAATCAGCAAAATTGCACAGTCAACACCAGCTAAGCTGCAATTTACATCACTTGAGCTTACCTTCTGTATAAACAAGGCTGTAGTAGTTTCCCCTTCAGTGAATGATTATCACCCTTTTTTTTTTGTTTTGTTTTTAGGAGGAGGAATTTAAAAAATACATTTAAGAAATAAGCCACCAGAGAACAATACAGAAACAAATGCATCATGTTGAGACTGGACCTTCATATAGTGCACCACAGCATTACACAGCTGATTCCAGACCCATGAGATTTACCACAGAATCCTCCTCTCCTGGGGGTACAACTGTGAGCCAGAATTTAAGCTTTTATTTTTTAAAATACAATTTGGTTCTAGCCCTCATAACTTGCGCATGAACCAACCAAACTGAAGTAACATTGTTTTTTTCAGTCTGCACACTGTATGAAACAATAGTACTAAGAAGCATGAACAGCCCCAAGTGTCTTAATTCCAAAACCTAATGATAATATAAATGTCACTTTAGTTTACTTGTTTTAGCACAAATGACCAGGAAATGGTCACATTTCAGCCCCACACAGCCTCCGGTGGCATATTCGTTAAAATAACTACAAAAACCCTTTTGGTTTAAGCCATTCAAAACTTTCATTTGTAGTTCCATAGTAGGTACATCACCGCTTCAGTCTACAAGGCTGAAGTATTTTTATAGTGTGTCACCCCATACCATTTGTGGAGCTTGAGTGAGCAGATAAGTGCTGTCTAAAAGACACAAAGCAGAGGCAATAGTTGGGGAACTAAAATTACCTGCTAATCTGTCCTTGAGACCCACCCCAGTAGTAGAGGCTAGGACAGAAGAAGAATTACCAGGCCAGAGGCCTTACTGACACACCAGGGCAATCAACAGCAGGTCCGGATAGCCTGCACTTGGCTGGACCCCCAAACATGTGCATGGAGAGATACATATGTTTGGAGAAGGGGAGTGACTCCAGGGCACTGACTATAAGCAGGAGACACAACCTACTAGTTGCTCCCTGCAACAGAGGAGGAGAACATTTGTTTTTCAGTCAGGCCAATGCAGAGCACCCAGAGAAGAGACTGAGCTGCAATACTATGCTGCGCCCACAATGGTGACTGCCAGCTGAGCCCAGTGGGCCTCCTCTGCACCGGGAGCCAGCTAGAGACCCACTCCAGCCAAAAGAGACAGCTACCAACTTTCCAACAAGGAATGCACTAATCCTCCTGATCCATCTCCAACTCCACTAGCCTGTAGGGAGGCTTGGGGTGCATTTTCATGGTTTTTTGAAGGGGGTTCAGAAATTAAGGGAATGTTTAATTATTGCTGTGTGACTAGTTATTAGTTATCCCCGATTCCCTTGTCTTTCTCCTCTGTCCTTGGTTCCTGACCTTTCCTGTTTTTATTTAATTTGCCCCATTCTTTCCCTGGAATAAAACATTTGCCTATTCTTAAAATTGGTTCCCTATAATTATCTGCAACTTCCTAGAGGTCATAAGGTCTACTGTATTACGTACCTGGCCAGTAGCTGGCCTCACAAACTCAAAGAACCCAGGGTCGACTGATGCTAAAATGGGTCAAAAAGCTTCTGAGAAGGGAGGATTAAAGGTTTCTACCATATATGGTGACTGGGAATACCTCAGGAGACAGACACAAATATATAGGTAGATCACCTTTTAAAAAAAAGGTGCATGCACTGTGCTTTTGGGTAATGTGCTACCTCACTTACGTAACCAGAAGGTCATGCCAGTTAACCATTAACAGTGGGCATTTTACATTTTTTTGGTGTGTGCTTAATACTACCAGCAAACTACAAAACTGCAGAAATCATACCATTGAAAAACAGACACAGTAGGGAATGCAAGTATTCAGAGAACTCATAATCACCCCAAGCATATGTTGTCTGCTTTTATCCCTAGAATGGCAAATGTTTCCAACTCCTGTAGGAGATGGCATACAGTTTTAGTAACAGGTTTGGAATACTGCTTTTATTCTTAAATTACATCAAACTTATTCAACTGAAAGTGTTTGTATTAGAACTTGC